CCAATCAGGTCGCCCTCCTAGCGCCGTAGGAAGGAGCAAAGAACTTTCGCCGATTGGGTTCAGAGTCAGCTCCAGAGAAGAACATTTCTTGCTCAGAGTCCAACTGATGTTCCTTGTCCCAGTCAAACAACCCATGCCATAAATCCACGTAGTAAGCGTTCAGACTAAGCTGCCACTTATAATACGTGGCCCTGCAATGCGATATAGAGCTATTCATTAGATCTTGATGAATTCGTATAGCTCTCTCACTGTCAATAATAAAGACAGGAGCATATGCATTGTCATGGTAAGACGATGGGATCATTGATATCCGAACAAGAGGATATCTTTGCACGGACCAAGGACAGAGAGCGGATCTCGGAAGGGCAAGAATGCGCCCAGCACGAACCTGTATCCCTCGCGTCTCATTGACAAATTCTTGCCAAATTGAGACATGCCATCTGACGATTCCACCGAACCATACTTCTATTAACAAATTGTTTAGAAGGTCTCACAAGCAGATATGAATCCTCAACCACTAAGGTGACTTTGAAGGTTTTGACTTGAAAGCACTCTCGAAAACGTCGTGGTGGACAAGATTACGTAGAAGTTGTGTGTGGAACTTCCATTACGCGTCGCAGTTACGGTTCCCTACGTCATGCAATAAAAAGCGTTTCTGAAAAAGCGCGCCAGAATCTGAATGACCTCTCAGATTAGATGGCCCTCCAACCGAAGAGCGCCAAGATTTCACATGAAACTCCCCGAACCTCCTTGTGATTTACTGGATAATTATGAGAAAACGAGGGAACATCTGATGAAGTCAAGTTATTGATTTACGGTTTGGGTATAAAAGTTGCTCGTTCTTAACAGCTGCAAGTGAAGTGCGACGCGGATACTGGATGTGCAAGCTCCGACTTTGGCTGCATAACCACTATTTGCTACCGTTACTGAGCTACCACGAGGTCTTCCAGTGCTCACACTCTTCTTTCTTCAACTCACTAGTGCAAACCGTGTGGTTGCGAAGTCTTTCCTATAGCCGGAAGGAGTGCGCTCTCCAAGTGTGAAGTCACATCGTGTCTGTGTCGAGCACCGCATGTGATGATGACGCTCAAAATATCTTGCCTCCACCAACTTCACGTTCTATGACATCAATGAGGCAGAATCCTTTAGCTCGATGGTGGAGCTGGACGTCTTCGAAGAAGATTCGCGGTTCCTTTTTAAGGGGATTTTCGTTGGATAGCATTCGTGTGAGCTCGACTACAAGCAAGTGCCAAACAAGTGTGTGGAGCCAAAAAGTTATGCATTTCCAGGCGTTGAACACTTCCATAAAGGCTCCGTGAGCAGAAAAGAAGTGAAGAAATGGTCACATCGTTCCAACAAGTGGCTTCGCACTAACAGTAAGTGCGGCTTAGTAGAACAGAAAGTTGTGCACATCGCATGTCTCCCAATATCGACACCTTTTACTCTGCATTATGTTCAATATTAGCCAGGAAGCCATTCAGGGCACCTCACACAGTACACGGAATTACCAGACTTTATACAGAAAATTATTGATTCCCCAGGCGGAATTCCCCTCACTTTGCATCGCTGAGTCGAGGTGCGTCAGAATACTAATATAGAATACATAGAACAGCAAATATAGAAGTAGCCAATACTAGTTAATATCTGTAATAATTGTAGTTACTCTTCATTAACAGATCGAAATCCGAATAAAACAACAGGAACTTGCCCGGAAACCGAATCGCCAGTCAATTAATGATCACGAATGGTTCATACTTTATTTCTACTTATCCGGTGATAACAAAATATGGAAAAGAGATCTTTACAACAATAGAAAGCATACCTTGAATACACGAAGGAACAACTAATTTATCTCAGCTCTTTTGTTTTCGATGAAATATTCTACTACGAAGCCTACGTACACATGCCTTTAAGGGCACTTTACAATCAGCATGTATGAAGCATGGTCACAATGAAAAATTTCACAACGAATAGCGGATAATAACAGTTCAATCTCATCTCCTACAATCAGTGAGCGAAAAAAGTTAGGTCATAAAACTACAAACATAACGAATCCAACGAAAATTCAGTCCAGCAGTCATTAAAAGACAGTACAGATTGGAAGTGAATAACCACAATAACAGAAACGATGAAGAACTCGAGTAGATTTCTTTGACTATACCGTGTAATTGGAATAAACCCATGAATAAAAAGGCGAGTGAAAATCCTGTACAAAAAGCGAGTGTTCAACCGAGTTCAGTAGAGTCCGCAAGAGGGTTCGGTTTGCAAAGTTCCGCGGGTAGTCCCAGATAGACGCAAAGTTCACTGCCGTTCATCACTGACACCATGTTTGACTGAGGCGCATAGCGTGGTCGGAATGCGACCAACTGCAATACATCGTGATACTTGGTTATTCTCACCGTTTAGAGAAAGTAAGGAATAAGCGAATGCTTACTATAAAAAAACGTACCCTGTGCTGTTCCAAAATATGCTCGGCGATTCCAGGTTCAATGACATTTTGACGACAGACTTTGCAATGACGCACACGTCTTGGCTGGTCTAACATGTGTTGTCTCATGAAGTGATCAATCAACACCACTCCCTAGAAATCCATCAATGAATACCTAATATACAATAGCAACATGAAAAAATGAGCACAAAAAATTACCGTTGGGTCTTGACCCATTGGAGCCATACAAGTCTTGCAAGCGACGAAACGTTTCATGGCGTGCACCAATTCATGCGAGATTCGCATACCTCCAGTAAGTTCTCGTTGCCACGGGTCTGCGACCCCGCAAAGGTAGCAACAGGTAACATCACAACTGCAACAAGGGATATGTTACTACAACTCTAGCCAAACGTTTGCTTAGTTTTGCTGATCGCTTTGTCGAGCTGTGGCGCTCAAAGTTAGAGCCCATAACTGCCACTCGTGAGTACTGGGTTTCAGGTGCGAACGAATGGTGCGGCTTACGGTCAACTGAGACCCAAAGTTTTTAATGGCACCAATTTTCTGTTTTTCTCAGCATTCTTATGTCTGCGCGGCGTCCTGCAACCACTCTGACCTTGCACATTCCAATTTTTCAGGCACAAAAAGTGATCCTGTCCAACCCGATGTCCTATCCTTTCGAAGAAAAAAAAATCGATAGATTGCAACATGTTTTTGTCATTCTCAATGCCTTCGTAGCCGCAGTTTTTTTTGTATCTCTGCGCTCCAGCTTTTTGCAGCAGGACCCCACCAAAAGCTATGGTTGTCAAGAACCGTATGGTGCTAAGTAATTCAGTAGTGAAAAAAAATCAGAAGGAACTGTTGAGAAAGCTTCACACATTATGAGAAAAGCTAAATATCACGACGGTTGGGCGGAGACCACTAGAGTGGGCAAAAGTCTCGACCCCAAACGGAAACTCAAACCCACACCGACACATGTTAAACGTGTAAGTGCTGTAAGCCTAAGGCACAAAAGCCACTGAGCTGAGAGGGGTGAGAGCCTCGGTGGCATATATTACCTGGTAAGTGTGGGTCCTCAAACCCTGTCGGGTGCCAAAAAAGCTAGGATAGGTGATTTATCTGTTGGCCAGTGTATCGTAAGCCCGGAATGGAGTTCTACTGCGCTAATGATTAAAGGGAGTGTCTTGCGTCAGAAAATCCACCTTTCATTTTCATTTCATGGAACGAGCAAACCGCTTCTCCTTTGCAGATGAATGCTAGCAATAACAACCCTGTTTGATAGTTCTGTTCTATTGGAGTAGTTCTGTGAAAAGTACCTGTGTTTTTCATGAACACCATTGTGGAATGTCATTTTGGCAGCGGTGACGAACCTCGTCGCGCAATTGCTGGAAGCAGGATGGTTATCGTGGAAGAAAAATGGATCGAGTTCTTGATCTTATTATTAATGGGAAACTTGGACCAAAAAAATGGACGTACTCGGAAGACATTGGGAACTGAGCCGAATGAATATGGTTAATGTGTTTTCGCAACATCTGCACTGATGGGAATGCACCGTTACAGTTTCGAAGCGGACAGTGCAAAGTATAAACGAACCTGGATTTTATTCTCGCCTCCTGAAAAAAATTTTTTAACAAGATTAGAATCAAGCAACAATTCTTGCGACATAAGGTCCTTGGATCCCAATTTCACGCTATTTTTTAGCACAACTTCGTTTATTCCGCTAACTTTTCTACGCCTAATAAGGTCCCAAAGGGAAACTCTTCACTTATGACCAGACGTTTTGAGGTAATCGCTTCTCTCAGAAGTCTGAAAGCTTTCGAGTCCAGGATACGAACACAGTCGAGCAATCAAGTGTATTCAATTCACCCTCGTGGCTTGTCTAGAACTGCTGGAACGTTCTTTGGAACTCAACAGAGAATCTCTTACAGCATGAGAGCCAGTCACCAACGTTAGAGCCGGAAATTACGCCCACCAGCGAACAACGGGACTTTGGTATCTGTAGTGTTATAGTGAGGATTCATACATTGTCTAATTCATGACGAGGTATGAACACCAAAACCACTGTGAAGCGATAGTACCAGTGAGAAAAGCCATCTTTGTTCTTCCTGCCCCACTAGGACTCTTGTCGCCCCTTCAGGGCGCAGGCGTTGTACTGGCAAGTGAGACGCTTACCTTGCTAGGGTCCTGGCGTTAAATCCCGGAACGGCTCACGCTAATGTTCAGGGACGGCAAGTTGTTGCCAAACAGGTCTGGGAGGATAAGAGCACTGATTTATATTAGGTTGTCCCAAAAGTTCGTGGACATTTTTTGAATCTCGTATCAGATCTTTCCGCAGCCATTTCGAGATCCAGTTATGTGGTCTATGGGAAGTGTGTTAGGTAAGCATCCCACAGCTTCTTCACCGTCCCTCGCAGTCGCTGTTCTCATATGAAAAACGGTAATTGAAATTCATCATTTTCGACACACTTCGCTATATGAATCTCTACCAAGCCACAACGTGGTTGGAGCCATAAGCGGCATTTCCCTTATTTAGATCTTGATGTTACCTTCCACAGTACGGCTTTGGAATGGCCCAATTGCTTCCGCTTTAGTGACTTCTATCTGGGTGAAAAACTTCGTCCAAGGAGGCCACCTGCCTTGGATTTGGACCTACTGTGTTCCTTGATTAAAACCAATTCGTACAATCAACTTGCTATCTAGTCCTTACACTTGACTGGTCCCAAAGCACAAATGAGAGAAGGCCTCGCTCCCTTAGAAAAGTTCTGAAGTTCGGTCAAAATTTTTCTCATGAGTTGACCAGTACTCCAAGGGGAGCACATGTGGGTACTGTCTACAACTTCTCTCCCGCTTCCGCTGTACGGGCTGGTTGAACAGCACTGTAACTGGATATGGAGTGGGTGCCTCTAGGTGAATCACTCCTGGGAGCGCCAGCGGCTAGATCCCCAGAAAGGGCAGAACCGATCGCGCAATCCTATCAATCCAGTAGGGCGGTGAGGCTGTGTATGTGGTGGGGTTTCTTCTCCGCTCTCCAAAACGGAATTTCCTCCTTCCAACGCTGTGGTAACCAGGGAACCCTATTGTAATCAACTGCAAAGGGGGGGGGTTGAAAATCGCTACCATTTGGTCCCAAAACCGAGCAATGTTTGCCTACTCCACCACAGCTCAGGGTCACACATTTGGAAAACGACACTGCTCGAGATCCCGAAGCTTAGCTGGGGAATTCCACCACAGTCTTCGTGTAGCCCTGACTTAGCTCTTTCCGATCGCCATCTAAACTAATCCCACAGCGGCCATCTTCTGGGTAAAAA